GCACTGAAGCATTGAATACATTTCACACAAAGAAACAACCACAAGGTTGTAAATAAATGTATATGTCAGCTAGTTCCATATAGCCTGCATTCTGGCATTACACTCTATGCAGGGAGTTTGGCTTGTTGGGAGCCATGAATATGATTGCTTTTAAATGATAAATAGCCATGAGTATACACAGTATATAAAACTGAAAATTCAGAATGTCTTGGTTAACAATAAGCGTATATTCACAGTGTGCAATAACAGAAGAAACAGACTAGGAGAAGAAATTATTCTTAGAGCATTTATTTGAATTAATTTGCATTGTTTTGCCTGTTTGTGTCCATGCGTGTGGTTTAGACAGCTGCATGCAACTACACAGCATCTGATATCTTTAATAAAGGCTAGTTGGAAGAATATCTCATTAAATGCTCTGTCACAAGTCATTAATCAAACTTCATCAAGCAGACTTTATAAAAGTTTTAAACATTTCAGTGCCTATCCAGCTGCTCTGTACCAATAAAATATGCATAGAGTATGCATTGACTCCATTATCTGCCAGCTATTAACAAACTCAACTGTGAAAGATCTCGCTGGTTGGAGGAGAGCAAGTAAGATAAAGAAAAAGATGTGTCCTTGCTGTGCTGCTTCCATTGATGGAATGGTGGGCGATTGACTCAGTGACCAATAAAACTATCACGAGGTCAATGGAGGGTGTAAGCAGTTGGCTTTTGTGCACTTCCTCCTCTGACACATTAACAGTGCCAATTTTGCCCAGTGAATTCACAAAGACAGGAAGCCTCTGGCAGTCTGGCCTTGTTTACCTGTGACAGACAGCACGATTGTACCACTTTTAGCCCCAATCAATCACATAGACGGCTCGAACAGTGAGGTCTGATTAGGGCTGATGACTTTTATAGGCAATTTCTTCCCTCTTTAACCCATAGATCCAATTTCCTACCACATAGAACAGAATGTTGAAACCAAAAATAAAGGACCTCCAAAAATGACTTTGAACTTTGTGCTTCGTACATTATCTTAAAGTAATTTATTGTGTCTTTCATGTTTTAATCACTTTTCACTCCACTCAACCCAAAGCACCTTCAGCAAATCTGAGAAGTCTAGATTCTAACCAAATGTGACCAAGTCTTATACCCTCAGAGTGGACATAAAAAGTTAACTAAGACAGAAAAAAAAACCCAAACAGCTGAGAGCGAGCGTGTTTGACAGTGAGGGAATGAGCAGATGACAGGGTGTGAAAAAAGAGGTGACTGTTCAGTACACAGGGATGGGAAAAGACACTGAAACCCACTGAATGATTGATGTTTGTCATCGTTTACTCTTCTGTGTGATTTTGATTTTGACTGTCTTATAACAAATACATTTACATGCAGCTAATTTGCATTAGCAAACATGTATAGGTTATGTTTGTAATCAACATGACAAGTTTATATTGAATTTATCTTCAAACTGCCTTCCAATGCAAAATGTTCAGACAAACTGTCTCTGCAAAACAAATTGATGACATATTTAATTTGTATCATCTTCTGGCAGATTAGCATTTAGCTGGTTATGCTCAGGCATCAAAAAGCACTGCAAATGTTGGGGAAACAGCATTCTTTTGCATAAATATTGAGATGTCCAGTGCCAACTTGGAAAATCTCTAACCTTAAAGTTCCTTTACAGGCTTAGAAACATTTGCAACTGTAGGATGTAAATCATCCTCTCTAGTAGAGATGTCGGTACTTTCAAAAATAAGAAAAATTGCTGCTCTTTGCTGTCAAACGTTCTTAATAGCTAGCTCGTTCAGTAAATGCAAGTATTTCTTTACTCAAAGATGCAGTGTAGAGATGTCTACAAAGATAAAGACACTGTTGATCCGCAGTCAGTGAAACCAGTGGCTGTGTTATGAATTTGACATAAATCGGTGTATTTTATTGATTGTCGTGATTTTTTTAAAATTTATGAATATTTGAATACAGTACTGATAACTGACCTCTTGCTCTGGCCAAAGCCTTTTTCCGAGGTGCCAAAAATGCCTCTATGCATTAAAATGCATAATAGATGATGGATGGGTGAATGTGTATTGTTCACCTGAATATATGTATGTGATGTTCTACCATTGTGTATGAACATATATGTTAAATGTGGACATGTGACATTTTTTTGCTGACTCAGGATCAAATCTTGTGAATATGCATGTCTAAACAGTATGGATTACCTTTCTATATTTTAGTTTGTGTGCTCTTCTAATTTATATTTATTTAATCTATGGTTTTGCTATTTGTAAGTATACCCAAAGTAAAACATGCCAATAAATGAGAGCTTATGATTTTAAAATGTACAGACAGAAAACGGAGATCCTTAAAAATGTATTCAAACATTCTGAGTGGCAGAAATTAATGTGGTCTGCTACCTTCTAATTATCCGAAGAGGGAGGAAATATTGACCTGATGGGGCAGCAGGGTTGCAATTTACCTTCTTCAGCCAATGCTAGAAGCAGCTCAAGGTTTCGGAAACTATCAACTCTTTCCAGTGGACTTTCTCTCCAGATGCCACGGGTTTGTAGAGGTGAACAGCTGTCAGATGTGGAGCCCAGACTGAGAACATTTATTCTATAACTCAAACACAGTAAGAGATGCCTGGCATCATCAAACTGGCACATCTGTCATCCCCTGTCACAAGAGAATGGAGACTTCCAGACAGCTTGTCCAACAAACTGGACTGACTTGGCTGCTAGAAGTAGTATTTGTTAAAAGTGGAGCTTGTTAAAATTGGGCTGTTGTAACATTGCATCTTAGCTAAGGCGTGTTTGGATAGGTTTATTTCCAGTTTGGTCGCTTGCACAATGTAATGGGAAACATTTTTTCTGTCAGATTTTATGAAGGAAGGAGTTGTAATTTTGCAACTGTGCAAAATGAAAGGAGAGTGTTTGGGCTGCTGGGAGGAACTGGATTGGTGTTTAATATGATCATACTTGGCCTTTGTTCTGTTGCAAGATATAATTCAATCAAACTTCTGTATTGCTGTCTGTCTGCCTTTCATCTTTGTCTTTGTCTGTTTATCTTGAACATGTGAGGAGATAATCTTAAATCTACACACTGGAGTTTACATAAGCATTTAATATACTGTTAAACTCACTATTAGCGAGTTGTGTCCTTTACTTTGAAATCGTAGTTTCACTCTGAATCAAATGGAACACCAAATCGCTCTTACACAGTTATGTGGCTTTTCTAAACACTCCCAATCAGTGATTTCACAGCAAGAGTTCTGCCTCTGACAGACAATAGAAACACCTGCAGTGACACAGTGATTGGGCTGAGGCCAGACAATTTCAAACCCATGCAGAGGCATTACATCATGCCTCTTTTTTTAAAAACCAAAAGGATAATCTACTGTTTACCATACGTTAAAAGAGTGTTGCATATTTATGTGTTTGTGAAAAGCTGCAGCAGGTTATTTGAATAATCAGCTTTTGTACTTGTTACTTACATTTTTATGCTTGCTCATTTGTTTCTTGAGCATTTTTATATTACAGTAGTGCTTTTTACAATGTGCGTTTACAATGCGTGTTTTGGTAAATGTCAAAACAAATGGAAAAAGTTGTTTTCAATTGTAGCTTAATTTATCTTAAAATGATATGCACACATATTTCAGTGCCATCCTTGTCTAATTAAGCTTTTATTTAACTGCTGAATCAAAAAGTATAGATTAAACTGGAGCTTTATCACTGATAATGCATTATCCATAAAATGTTCTTTCATTCAAGGTCATTGTGTTGATCATACAGACTACTTGATAAAAAAAAAAATGTTTTGGTATTTCCAAGAGAGAGGCTTGTGCTGTAGCAGTTCTACACTTTCATTAAAATCTGAATTTCTATGTGTGTAATTACTCCCGCATGGCTGCTTCACTGGCTTTTTTCGTTTTAATCCCTTTACTCTAATGTGAAAAAGATGTGGTATCTGACATTAAAATATTTATGAGTCACTTAGTTTCTTAATTTTGTAGAAAAGGAAGTTATGGGTATGTAACTTTTAATTTTCCCTATATGACTGTCATTAGGTTGATCGATCTCAACCTCTAAAAGAAGCCAGTTAAACCATAGCATGTGCGAAAGTTATTGGTTATCAAAGGATAAACACATAAATCTCCAGCGTGTGTCTGCTTATCTTCTTGTAACTCACGCTTAAGGAATTCAATCATTAGGCAAATATTTTTATTATTTATAAGTATATATTTAAACTGGCATTGGTAAGTTACTGTTATTTGTATTCTTTAATTTAACAAAACTCAATAACACTTTTATGCAGGATAATTCACAGACTGTAGGTTAACTGTTGTCCACCCAACACCAGAAAAGAGGGCTTGTTGTGTGTGGATGTGTTTGTTGCATGAATACAAGAATGATCTAAGATCAAAGTGCTGGGTTAGAACTGGTTAGTGTCTGTGTGGGTTTGCAGGAAGTCTCCATCGTGACTAATGTGTCTCTGCCACTAATTAAAAGACCGAACATGCACGCACAAATGGACACACAGTAACAGACTGTATATCCCTTATATCTGACAAACCCTTGAGAAAGTAACGGCTTTTTATATGAAAGTAAAGCTCCCACTGATATTACTTGTAAGCTAAGACTCGCTTGTTTGTTCTCTAAAGCAATAACAAGATGAGATTATGCCAGTGCCAGTAATTGGTCAATAACAGGTGGGCATTCTCATTAACCCCTTCACATCCTAAACAAGCTCCCACCCCTCTCTCTCGCCCGTCTACTCGTAAAATTAGATTTTTTTAATTTTTATTTTAATAAACAAATTTAAAAAGCAAAGTTACAGCTTATTTGTACTTGCTAATTAGCAAATGCAACCCTGAGGTGTAATCGTCTGTCTTGGCCGGTGTTATGTGTAAGTTAAGCTACTTTATGGTGTTGCCTCTTCTTCTTTTCCTTCCATTTTGTAAAGGGTTGGCTTTTCCCTGCGCGCGCACTCGCTGCCTTCTAATTAGCGCGCGCACTCAGAGGCAAAGGTGGAGGCTTGGCTCGTCGCCACGGCACTGCTCAGAAGAAACTTGTGCGGTGGCAACTTTGACAAACACTGTTAAATGTCTGTCACATAGCTTAAATATTTTAAAGTATATGGTGGACGGGAACTCTCCCAATGTGTGACGAGGGCGAGGAAAGCGACAGCGGCGAGAGGGGGCACCTTTCCGAGTCTCCCTCCTCGCCTCTCTCTCTCAGACTTCCCCGAGGATCTCCCTCCTCTCCGCGGCCCCTAGACCTGTTCTCCTCCGCCTCTCCGCTGCTTGGGGACACCGACCCACCTTACCTCGCCTCTCCGGAGTGTCTTCACCCGTCTCCAGAGTACCAGGAAACCGGGGGTTCCACACACTTTACGCCGCCAAAGTTCCCCCAGCGCACCGGGGACACCGGCTCGCCGTTTCTCTCGCGGCCGGGTATACACATAGATGCGGTCTACGACCAGTACGATGACCCGTTTCCCAAGTGGAGGGGACGTGGAGCGGCCAACGCTGAGCGCTTTCAGCACCGCGGACAGAGACTGCACCGGGCTCCGGAGCTCTCGGACTATGGGAACCACTACACTGTTGAGCACATAGACACCGAGTTCAACTCCGAAACCCGGCAAACGTGAGTCCTCCCCCTCACCTTATATAATTAAGCCAGAAAATTAATTCGCGTGCCCTGTGATCACTGGCCTTGTGCAGAGTCCGTGGACTTATTTCTAAACTATAACCACAAACCTTAATCCACCTGGAATGTCAACAAGTAGAGGTCAGTTTTGAAAAGCGTGGAGAAAGGCAGGATTGACACTAAACCAGGTGCACCTAGCTTGTGAGGCACAGACCGACACTGCATAGACAGCACATTAGCAGACTTTTCAAATAAATGCTTTGAGTAATGTTATTGGTGACATATCTGAACTTACTGTGCTTTTAACATCACATGCTAAGATGTGCTGTTATCTGAAATATTAGTTCACTGTAAGTCAGTAAGTGGAATTTCTAAAGCTGCCACTTTCTCTTCCATCTCAACCTCCATTAAGCTGTGAAGTCTTGTATGTGCAAAATGCATATGTGAGGAAGTGAAGCCCTTACTACCTCCTTGTGTTCAGAGATCGTTAAATAGGAAACAGGGGCAGATTAAGGCATGTGACACAGAGCTGGAGCAGGTTGCAGAGATTGATTTCCACTATACAGTGTACAGAATTATGTTTAGCTGTTTCCTGTATAACTACATATGTATTGAATTGTTTCAGTAAAAACAAAGGAACACAGTTTTGGTGTATGCAGCCCACTGCATCAATTTAGAAAATGTCCAGAGGAAAAAAGTGGGACATAAATGACAATACTTAATGGATATTAATGTTACACTGCCAGCTTAGCTATGACTATCAGATATTGAGAATAACAGGCCTCAGAGTTTGGACTTTGATCTTCCCTGGTCTGGCTTTTTGATACCAGTGTTCAGCTTAACAGGCCTAACATGGAAGAAGCTCTCTCTGATGCCTGACTAGGTGAAATGTTGGACACATGTATGCTCAGGTTTTGTGTGAAAGAGCTGGTTAGAGAGGCTGGACATGTCTGTTTCTCATTACCATTAAATTATGTTGAGTAACTCGACTTTGATCTTATAAAAAATGGCAATTTACTGTTTGAACTCTGTGTGTGGTTGACAAAAGCAGAGACAGAGAGCCAAGAGTGTAACTTTTCTCAGATGTGCGTGTGTGTTTGTGTGTATGTGTGTGTTTGCCCACTGATAAAACACTAACTCATTAGTCATTTCTATAAAATTTGATTTCAAACCTGATTAATCTTTTCTTTCCTTCCTTCTTGCTAGTTCACCGGTAAATGACCTAACCTAATTGATTGCCTGCACAGATTATAAATGACTTAGTGCCTCAACCCTGGAAAGTTCAAGTGTGAAAAGAGGACACGTAAAAAACTGTTCATGCAGTTTACCTGGCTGAAAAGCTCATAGTGACAGTTATTTTATTGTATTTTCATTCTGTGTTAAGGCTTCATTCTACATTTCCAACACATTTTTTTCCTGCTTTGTGAGTAAAAAGCGTAAAAACGCCTTACGTTTGACTGTGAGTGGTTTTGCATATTTACTCCAGAAAGTAGCATTTACATTTGTTTTGTAGAGATATAGTCCAACCATGTATTTTATTTTTATTTTTTAAATTTATGTTGTAGCTATTCATTGAGCTTGGCTTCCTGGCTTAGTTTTCCAATAATGCTTGTATAATATACATTTTTTAGCCACATATGATGTTTTTCTTTAAAAAAAAACCTGGTCTGTCCACCTGTGCATCACCCAAACTACGACTGAGGTTGAACTTTTACAATCCAGTGAGCTAGACTCAAGCCAATTAAGTGTCTGAGATCTCAAAAGAACTGTAGTTTGAGACATTTTTTTGAACAAGCACCACTGCTGTGTTAGAGATACTTGCGGCAATGGTGCAAGATTGCCTTTTTCTCTTTTTCTGTCAGTTTTGTTGCTAGTACAAGAGGGAGCTGTGTGATTGGACAGCCGCTCTCAGTGATCTGCAGGAGGCTCATACTGGGATCCACCAGCAAATTGGGCAGACTCAGTAATAGCTGCAGTTTCAGGATTTAAAAAAAACCAAAAAACAGTACTTACATTACTATAGTGAATAGTCTGATCACATTAAATGAAAATAAAATAGGTGCCATCACCACTGAATCTAAGCTTCATGATTTTGAAGCCATGTCCACTTTACAAAATGCAGAGTGTATACTTAGTATGAAACTGAGGTGGGTAGGTTTAATAAAATAGTTTGAAACAACATTAAAGTACTCCAGTATAAAGTAAGTCATAGATTGATAAAATGCTTCTTAACCAAAGCTCTTGGATAAATATTGTACTCTCCAAGAGGACAATTGTAGTCAGATGTTGGTTGTTTTAAAAAGCAGTTTTTCTTCCCTTCTTCTTCTTTTGTTAAATGCAATAAGTCTTTTTTGTCTTTCTTTAGAATTACCACTCTATGACATAGGAATTTAGTCTCAGACCCTAGATATATAAGCCAAAACACATATGTACACATGCCATGCTTTGATAATTTCTCTTCTTGTTCTGTACCTACATGTAGACATGGCTTCTCTCTGCCTGTTTATCTCAATTGTGTCTGGCTCTTCTTGTCTGCGTGACTCTCGTTCCACATTAAAATGATGACGGTAAATTTTATTTCAGAGCCGAATCACAAACAGCCAAAGATGGATGGAGAGGGAGCTAGAGAGGGACAGATAATGGCGATTCATTACCTGACTATAAGGTTATCTAAATGGGCTGGCAGCCAGCCTCTTTCTTCATTTATGAGAAATCCTCCCAATGTTTACAAATATCTCTGTAAGAATATCCCCCTCTGTATGTGTGTGTGTGTGTGTGTGTGTGTGTGTGTGTGTGTGTGTGTGTGTGTGTGTGTGTGTGTGTAAAGGTGGAGAAGACATTAGACACAACTTAGAGCGTAAAGGACTGACTGAACAAAACACACAATGACCAACAGGAAAAGATGCTTTTGTGCAGGAGTTAATAGATAGTACTTTCTTTAGAGCCACTGTATAGTGTCACCTTACATTACATTCTATTGTTAATTTAGGTTTTGTTCATATTCTGGTGCCCTAATGTGTAATTGTTCATGTCTCTGTATGGGGGGTGGGGGTTGCTTACTCCCACTGATTGGCAGTCAAGGACATGCACAACTGATTGTGTCACATTTGACTCTCTCTCCCCCTCCCTCCCTCCCAAACCCATACACACACTCACATGTACACACAAGATTTGTCCTGGTGAGCTCTCTTCATCTTCTCAGTTCCACATCCTTTGACACCCCTGGGGAATATTTCTACCTTGAACAAGTTTCCATTTTCACCATTTCCTTCAATTCAATGTCCTGCATTCTGTCCATGCACACGCACGCACGCACGCACGCACGCACGCACGCACGCACGCACACAATTACAAATAACTCAAATTCAAAATAACCTCACATGGTATTTTTATTACTTTTTTTCATTTTGCTGGCAGGTCTAATATGAATCTGGACCCCTAGTCATTTATAAGGTCACTGTATCATTTACAGCCATTTAACTCATAATAGCAGCATTATATTGAAAATCCTTTAACAGTGTTGTACATGGATAATACTACCCAATTATGGCTTTAAAAACGGTACCTCACCTCTGCTATCTCTCTCTCTCTCTGGGGAGTTTCAAGGTTTTTTCATTATCTGGGTTTCACCGACTGTCCAATCATACAGCAGACACAGATGCTACGGCGAATTTAATTGCAGTGGGTGGAGTACAATAGTGCTGATTTGGACAATTTGTAACAAAGTAGTTGGAGCACAATAGTCCTGATGAAAACTGTTTTGCACTAATGGACATGATTAAAAGCAGTTCTCTTCAATCTACTGGCACTGTGTTACTTCGGATCGTTGGACAAAGGTAGAAAAAGACACTGTAAAGAGCAGGATGTGCATTTTTAAATCCATATCCATGCAAATTTCCAAGTGACTAACTCTTATTCACCAGTGTTCAAATGGTCACTTTGGATGACACAGTATAAGTTTGTCATTCTAAAGCTAGTTAAGCTGACAGCTTCATCTCTGCTTTGGCAATCACCGCTGTTGACCTGCCCAACAAAGAGATTTGACAACTGTCCATGGAGGACTTGGTATGATACATCATAGGCAAACAGATTTTAGCAGTCTTTCTGCTTGCCTTCAACATTTGCTTTCTTCCTCTCTAATTTTCAGTCACTTACTCTTCATCACTTTGTTGCTTCTTTCTCTGAGTCTTGAATTCCTTTGTTGTGTTCTACCTCCATTGCCATCTCAATAATCATTGTGGTTTTTAATGATGTAGTGTGTTTAACTGTCTTTACTGTCTCCAGGGTGGAAGCCATGCATCGCCGCCACACAACGTTGAGGGAGAAGGGGCGTCGCCAGGCAGTGCGGGGCCCAGCCTATATGTTCAACGAGCGTGGCTCGGCCCTCACTGCAGAGGAGGAGCGTTTTCTGGATGCTGCTGAATACGGAAACATTCCTGTGGTCCGCAAGATGCTGGAAGAGTCCAAAACCCTTAACTTTAATTGTGTGGACTACATGGGCCAGAATGCTTTGCAGCTCGCAGTGGGTAACGAGCACCTAGAAGTTACTGAGCTGCTGCTAAAGAAAGATGGTTTGGCTAGGATTGGTGATGGCCTCCTTTTGGCCATCTCAAAAGGTTATGTTAGAATCGTTGAAGCCATTCTCGCCCATCCTGCTTTTGGTGGAGGTCTGCGGCTGGCTTTGAGCACTTTGGAGCAAGAGATGCGTGATGATGACTTTTACGCCTACGATGAAGACGGAACGCGCTTCTCGCATGACATCACACCCATCGTCCTGGCTGCTCACTGCCAGGAATACGAAATTGTCCACATCCTGCTGACGAAGGGGGCTCGCATTGAAAGGCCCCATGACTATTTCTGTAAATGTTCAGAATGTGTGGAGAAACAGAAGAAAGACTCCTTCAGCCACTCACGCTCCAGGATGAATGCATATAAGGCCCTGGCCAGTGCAGCTTACCTGTCGCTCAGCAGTGAAGACCCTGTGCTCACCGCCCTCGAGCTCAGCAATGAACTGGCAAGACTGGCCAACATTGAGACAGAATTTAAGGTGAGGTGTCCTATTGGCTTTTCTTCATTCTTCTCTTTCTTCATACTTTACTAGTTTAAAAATAAAGATTTGTTTTGTAGAGATACAGATGTCATACTACAAATGTACACTAGTGTCTATAAGTTCAACCGCCAGCTATGAACCTTATTCTACCCGCTGCTTAAATTTGAAAAATGCTAAAAAGCATGTAAGTGGGTGGCAGGAAAGGGCTGAGGAGGATGAACAGATGTGTGAGCCAGGATTTGTTCAGTGATCCTCAGGCCAGAGAAGAAAAGTGACACAGAATCACAAGGGATCTCAAAGGGCTCTTTTGAAATGAGCGACTGCTCCCCTCCAGAATCCAAAAACTGACATTAGTGCAGTGGAGCACCATGGTGATTCCATGCCATATCAGTTTGAGCAGTTGGCACTAGCCCCAGTAATATTCCTCTCTCACTCTGTCTTTCTCTTGGTATCAAGGGATTGTCCTGCCATCTGCAGCTGTCAAGCCATATAAGGAATTAAAGGGAAAGAATGTAATCCAGTGTTTCTCCTAAAGTGCAACTACAAAAGTAAGAGTCAGACGCACTGCACCAAAACTCTAAAACTAAAGTAGATGGTGGTGTAAACCTTAACTGCTTTGTGGGGCCAAGGGAGAGTGGCCACCATCTAGTCATGAAACTGGGTTTTGCAAGCTTTAGCATACTTTAAATATTAGATAAGTATTTGTGATATTTTCAAGTCATTAACTGCCAGTGTTTAAAGATGAGCTAGAAATGTCAACATTAACCTATTCATGTATCTGTTTTATCACAGAACACAGCAGTTATTTCACAGCTCAGGTTTATTTAAGCATCCATTAGCTCTTTAATCACCTTGAATATGCCCTCCACAAGTCGATTCAGTAGCATTTATCAACTCTAAATCAAGTCTGAGATAAGTTGACAGTTTTAAATAGTTTAGAAAATATACCTATATTTTTGTTCCACTGAAAGTTTGTAAGCTCTTTATAATAAAATTTATAAACCCTGTCCTGAATTGTTTTTTTTTAGTTCTGCTCCAAGGGGAAGCTTCTTGTTGAATGCAGCTGCATCAGTGCAGATGCTTAAGTAAAAACAGCACATTGAACATTATTTTCAGGGATCTATCTTTTCTTGAGCCTGGTATTGTGATTGACTAAGGTCTTTTTATTGGTATATTTTTTTAAAGCTATATAGATCAGGAATATGCTGCTTTAAGAAAATATATGCATCTGACTCTTCCCCGCATTCCTACCAGTGATCACATCTTGAATGTATTTCCTAGGGCACTGTAGATTTTTATTACCCTTTTGAACTACCTGTTAGTAATTCAATGTGCCCTCAAGTTGTGGGGGGAAAAAAGAGTTTAAAATGGAGCATTTTGCATTGTGAGAGAAAAATTCCTTTCTATGCTGCAGTCACCAAAACACACCTTGCTTCCATGATAATGAAACTGATGTAAAAATACTGACATGAATGTACGTTAGTATTTGTGTCACTGTCTTGGTGAGGAATAATTTTAATTTCAAAAGCTTGGAAGTAAATATCATATCTCCGAAGGGATATTTGAGGTTTAAAGATTGGACGTTAGGATCAGGGTTAGAGGTGAGTGGCCTCTAAATGGATTATTTTGCTTGTGTAATATTTAATATTGTTTCTTAAAAATGTAAAGCCCATATCATTAATGCACTCCAACCCTGAACCTTTCTAAACATTACATGATGGAGATGCATGTGGAAACATCAATGTCTGACGCAGTTGGACTGGACAATAAACACCCTTTAAATCCCGAGATCAAAGTCCAAACTCAGAATAGAGCAGCTCATGCTCCTCCTGTGTACACTGCACTGGCAGCTCTCTCATCTAAATCAAAAAGAGTATTTCCACAAGTGATAACATATCTAAAGAGGACTATTATCTTCTGGGTTAAATGTAAGAAAGGAGAACTTCAGACAGTGTGCCTAACTGATGTTCCCTTGTTTTCTGTAGCTTGTACGAAAATGATTTGAATTTTTTTTTCATTCTTTTTTTAAACAAAAAAATCAAACCTGAGTTTGTTTGCTGGCATCTCTGTCAAGACAGGGTCATTGGTTTGTGCTCACTTTACACTGTGTGGTCAGGTGGGCATGCTTTGGGTAGCAGCTTGAGGTAGAGAGGAAGCTTATTTCCCCCTACTGTGCCAGCTCGTGTACGAGTCCCAAATCAGTTAGCGTTGGATATAATGGGTAAGGTATTCACTGAAAAACCAGAGACACTCATCCATTAGACTCGTACATTATATGTATACATTTATACTTGATCATTTTTTTTTAAAATTTCTAACGATTTCCTTGTTTTGTCAAGTGAGATTCACTTATAAGTGAAAAACTGTCTTCAAAGAAAAGCTGTGAGAACAGTTTTCGCTGCAATATTGGATCTGTCTTGTCTAAGCTTGCTCAGACCTGTGCAAAGGAGCTAGAGGGTATGCAAGTGTCAGTCGACTGTCTTTCTTCAGAGACTGACTGCACGAGTGGCTTGTGCAAGCTATTAGTAATGGCCTATGGGTACATCTTAAAGAAATCCTAGCAGTACTATGAATAACTGCATGTAAAATGTGCACTGGTGTGATTACCATTAGATGGTACTGAAGCATCTGGTGAACTAGAAAATGGCATGCCTTTGTGCACCCATGTAGTGCTTCATTCTCTTACCCTCAACGCTCTTGTTAATAACCGTCATTGCTTCTCTGGTCCTTCCGCTTTCTACCCCCCATTTGTGTATGATATTCAGCCTTTCTGCTTGTCAGTCTGTTCTGTCTCCAGACAAGTTAATGAGAAGGGCTCACCTGAGGGACCACAGTTGTGTTGGAGCTCATCTGTCTCATTACCATCTCATTATCACCCCTCTGTCTTTTTTCTCTTTATTTGTTTTCTTGTCCCTTATCGCATCATCTTCTCATTAATTTAAAATATCAAGTAAGTAAGTAAGCTGTGTGTTTTTATGGAGCGTTCAAATGTGGGTGGGAAAAGTTAGAGCATTTTGTTGCTAACACAAAATGTTACATATGAACTTTTGTATGCTATTAGGTGCAATTTTATGACTTCAGAGGTATATTTATCTATTCATACAAATCTCAGTTAATATGCCCAGTCCTCACCATTTCCTTGGTGAATTAATTTAGAATTTATGCCATAAGTTTATATTTCTTTCATCTCACTTCTAAAGCTAGTATCCTGAAAGGAGCAGAATAATCTAATCAACCTGCTTGAAGTGCTGTACAAGTATACATAATGTGTTTTTGAGATTAAGGCAATGACCATGTTAGTGCTTTTGTGAGCCTCTATGACATATGGGAATCTCTAACATATTTCTAAGCGTCTGTGGATTTATTCATGTGTATTTTCAGAGAAGCATAATTGAAGGTACGTGTTTGTCCAAGACTGAGAAATAAGCTGCCAATCAGCAGCCTATTTATTCAAGAAGCCTCTAAATTCACATTATTCAAATCATCAGACCCCATTTTCCTTATTGTTGGTTTTCTCTGTGTGTCTGTTTTCTTTGCACTTGTTTTACTTAAACAATATTCAGCAGCTATTATTAACAGCATTTTCAGTGGCTGTCGTT